AATACAACTGCCCAATGGAAAACATGTGCAAAATAAAGGAAGAAGTTATCAAAAAACTAATAAATTATGCATCATCTCCATTATCCTTTACATTTCAGTTGTTTACCACTAGTTTTTTTTAAAATTTTTTATTGGAGTTCAATTTGCCAACATACAGCCTAATACCCAGTGCTCATCCCTCCAAGTGCCCCCCTCAGTGCCCATCACCCAGTCACCCAACCCCCTGCCCACCTCCCCTTCCACTACCCCTTGTTCATTTCCAGAGTTAGGTGTGTCTCATGTTTTGTCACCCTCACTGATATTTTCACTCATTTTCTCTCCTTTCCCTTTATTCCCTTTCACTAATTTTTATATTCTCCAAATGAATGAGACCATATAATGTTTGTCCTTTTCCGATTGACTTACTTCACTCAGCATAATACCCTCCAGGTCCCTCCAGGTCAAAGCAAATGGTGGGTATTTGTCATTTCTAATGGCTGAGTAATATTCCATTGTACGGATAGACCACATCTTCTTTATGCATTCATCTTTCAATGGACACCGAGGCTCCTTCCACAGTCTGGCTATTGTGGACATTGCTGCTATAAACATTGGGGTGCTGGTGTCCCGGCGTTTCACTGCATCTGTATCTTTGGGGTAAATCCCCAGCAGTGCAATTGCTGGGTCATAGGGCAGATCTTTTTTAACTCTTTGAGGAACCTCCACACAGTTTTCCAGAGTGGCTGCACCAGTTCACATTCCCACTAACAGTGCAAGAGGGTTCCCCTTTCTCCACATCCTCTCCAATATTTGTTGTTTCCTGTCTTGTTAATTTTCCCCATTTTCACTGGTGTGAGGTGGTATCTCATTGTACCACTAGTTTTTGATCTAATGTTATAATAAATCCTGTTCTTTTGCTAAGGTGAAGCACTTAAGAAAAAAATAAATCGGTTCCTTGGATTATATTTACTTTCAAACAGTCTTCATCCTGTTTCTTTCATATAACGCGTTGCTCTCCTAAATTTTTTGGCTATTTTAGAGACTAGCATACATTTCAGTTTTCCTATTTTAATTTCAAACTCAAAATGTACAGTTCTAGCCGTACTTCTCTTTGATCTGACATAGAATCAATTTCCCCTAATCATCTGCATACTGTTATTTGCAAGTTTATTGTCTTGCTGTTTGATCTATATATTAAGGGCTTATTTTGTTTCTCTATTCTTTTTTCTGTGGTGTGAAGTTTGGGATTAAATGGGGATTGCACACATTTAGAATAGAATTTCTTTTTCTATGGCATATTGACCTGCTTATTCATTACTTCCCACTTCAAAAGTAGCATGTGTAGTATGATCCCGTTTTTAGTTCTATCACACTTTAAAAAAAAAGATTTTATTTATTTGACAGAGAGAGCGAGAGCACAAATAGGCAGAATTGGCTGGCAGAGGGAGAGGGAGAAGCAGACAGCCTGATGCGGGCTGAATGTGGAGCTGGATCCCAGGACCCTGGGATCCCAACCTGAGCCGAAGGGAGCTGCTTAACCAACTGAGCCATCCAGGTGCCCCAGTTCTATCACACTCTTAACCTACATATTTAGTCATTAAGACAGAAAGAGGAAGTGTTGGAAAGATTTTCATCTAAAATTCATGACAGTAGATCTTGGCTGTAATGTTTTGTTTGGTTTTACTTTTTTAAATTAAAATTTCCTCTTCTGTATTTCTGAATTCTTCTTGAAGAGTATATATTACTATTTCAAAGCAAAATCATTTTAAAATACAAATTTAACACTTAAATTAAGGAAAGCGAACCATGGTGTAAGTTGGTCTTGTGGTTTGCATGGTATTTCAATGAACCTCTTTGGCTGCCTACACATACCAGAACTCTCAAGTAATTCCTAATTTGTGTATATATACAAAATATGTATCAGCCATCAGAAAGAATGAAATCTTGCCATTTGCAACAACATAGGTAGAGCTAGAGTGTATAATGATGGATGATCAATTTTTAGTCAAGTCTGTCTCTTTGAGTTGATTAGCTTTCTTTGGGTCAGGAAAAAATGAACTCTGCAGAATTACACGAGTAATATTTAATCTGTTAGGTAGAAACATTTACCAACTCTTATCCAATATGAGACCTGAATAAGAGCTCCGCATGCACTATGTTAGATTTCACCGTCTTGGGGAAGAAAATAGATAAATAACATCAGGAATTGCTGAAATCTCTCTTCACCCCAAACTGTTTCCCTTAAATAGATTCAGAAACAGGAATTCCTATGTAAGGAGTGAAGGAGAGCTCTCTTGCTCCTTCTTAAGGCTTTGTTTGCATTTGCTACTCACCTGGACATCCCTATTTAAATTTTTCCGGAACGTCACTTCTCCTCAAAATCAGCAGTGTGCTGTTATTTTCATCATTTGAAATGATGAGAAATCTGTAGCTCCTGGAGCGTTAGCAACTTGCCCAAATCACATTGTTGCTATGCGATGAGCGGGCCAAAAAAGGCTACGCAGTTATTGGTTTAACCGGCAGTATTCTACTGCCACCTTCTGGGAAAGTAGAGTATGTTACAAGTCCTACAAGAGCTCATGAATGAGGTCAGGCCTTTTAGGCTGTGCCTGTGGCAGATGAAGTAAATGTCTTACAAGTCATACTAGGATATATGTTTATATATAACACACAAAAGATAATGGTTTTTAAACAGGTCATGTTTAAAAATGATTTATAGAATGGTCATGTTTACAAATGATTATAGAATAGAGGCAGGATTATGGTTGAGAGACTAGAATGGAAGTAATAGTTAAGAAGAATATAAAAATAACCCACCAAAACATGATGAAGACTTGCATTAAATAAATATTCATGGGTCTAATTTATATCTAGGATGAAATGAGAAATTATATAAAAGTTGCATATTGAAATTGAGTTTGAGTGAGAAAAGAGAGACATTGACTTTCATTAAATCAAAACGCATGGAGAAGTCCATTTAGAAAGAAAAATAGGACTTATATTAGCTATATCATTAAAGATTCTAGAAGCCCATGAGATTAAGATGTGTAGTATATGATACTAAGTTTATGGGTACAGTCTCATTGTGTGAACACTTGAGTTATAAGTATACAGACAATAGAGCAATTATAGATGTAAGTGGGATTATGAAGCAGAGAAAGATGGGGAAAGAGAAGTTGGCAATGACAGAAGCTTAGGACAGATCAACAATTAGAGCATATAGAATAAAGGGATTGTGACAGAGGGAGTTCAAAATTCAAAACACTTGCTAGAGAGAATAAGAGAGCGAGCACAGGCAGTGGCTGCCAGAGTGAAGAATGCTAGGGGCAAAAGTTCTTTTATGTTGGCAGTGAGAGGATATATGCAGCAATGGTCAGCTCTTAGAGGATGCACTGAAAGGAGGGAAGTCTTACACTTAGATAAACATGCTGCCCTCCTTTCTTTCTTTGGAAATGTCTACTGTCAAATGACAGAAAAATACCATTATTAAAGTCCTTCTTATTGTTGTGAATGGCACCTTTAAGTAAATGCTTTATTATCCACTACAAATTTTTGTGTTATTACAGAATGCAAGTCTTATCTTTTGGAAATCTTTTTAAAATATTGATTGAGTTATTTGAGAGAGAGTATGTGCCTACACATGAGTGAAAGGAGGGGGAGGAGCAGATGGAGAGGAGAGGCAGAAAGAGTGAGAAAATTTTCTAGCAGATTCCCCACTGCATGTGGAGACCTATGTGGATCTCAAGTCCTGAGATCATGACCTGAACAAAATCAAGAGTCAGACAGTTAACTGACTGAGCCATCCAGACGCTCCAAGAATTCTTTTAAAAAGTAGAATAACAACTACTAAATACATCGACAAAAGTACTCCAACTTCAGAATGTAGTATTAGAGGAAAATCTAAATAAAATGATAAATCTTTCATGATAAAATGATGATAAATAAAATGATTCATCTTTCATGTTTCTAACTTTTTATTAAAACTATATTCTGGATGTCAAAAAAGTTAGAAACATGAAAGATAAATCAAGCTTGTAGAGACAAAAATTAAAATGTTTGAGATGAAAAAAAAATCTCCTGTATAACATTCATGGCAGTTTAATCATTACAGAAGAAAAAATTCAGAAACATGAACTCAAGGCAAAGTGTTAGAAAACAATCCTCCCTGGAGTCCTGTGTGTTCCTGCGTGGCCCAGGACTCAGAATAGTGGAAAGAGACCTGCTATAAAGATAGAGAATATTTCATTTCCTCAGGGCAATTTGCTTTTCATATTCTAAAGATGATAGACCAAAATTATTTTTCCATTTTTTACTGGAGCCATGTGTCTGCTTAGTAGTTAAGGTCAAAGAGCTAATGGAACAAATGAAAACTCTGACCATAGTTTCACAAGGATATTCAGAGGCAGAAGAGATGCTCTTCCCAAGGTAGCAGAGAGCAAGCTGGCTGAAGGGAGAGAGCATATTAGAGTACATTAGTGTGTATTAGTCTCCTCTCCATATTAGGAATGCATAGGAATATAGGAATATGCATATATATATATATATTCATGGATATATATATATATTCATGGACACTACTGACATAGGCCTCCTATGGAGAAGAGTGGGGCTTGTGGGTTGGGTGTGTGTAAGTGCCAGAGGTGTGTAAATGCCTCTATCTGAATGCTGAGTCTAAAAGTGAGGTTGTTCAACAGAGAGGTTTGCAGTAAGTGGGCGACACAAATGGCTGGGAAGAGCATGATGCTCCTTAGTTCCTAATAACTGTTTTTTAAGAAATGTCATAGGAATATAGAAGAAATTTCTCTTGTGTTCCTTGGAATACAACTTGGAGCCTTTGTACCATAGATTACTACACTGTTCCCAGCATCAAGAGGCTGATGAATCCCAATATTTGTCTTTGACTTTTGGCTCAAATGTTCATTTTGTTCTACTTTTGAGAATTGAGACACAGATTCTTGGACCAAGGATAAATCAGGCTTTCAGAAAAGTTTATTTATTAGGGAGGGAAGAGGTCTAAGGAACCTTCAGTTATCTGATACAAGCTCAGCAGGGGCAGGTCTCTGTCACTATCACATGTTAGGAGGGATGAATTGCAAGAGAAGGATTGTCATGATGGAAAGAAAAAAATATTCTCTGGCATCCAAGTCCACTCAGCATTTTCCATCATTTTGAAACCTAATTTTCCCATGAGACTTCCTAAAGGAAAGAATCAGAATCAACATTTCAAGAATAAAATGTCAGAATTACAAAAACTCTTTAAAATTATTTTATGTATCATCCTTGTTTTATATTTAAGGAAACTAAGAGCCAGAGCATGAAGGAAAGGGACGACAAATAAAAGCCAGGTTATTGGATTTCCTGCCCATTTACCCTTCAATGATTCTAAGATGCTATGGAAGATATTGTGACCTATGCTACAATCTCTTTGAAAATAAATTTTTCAATCAGGTCTGAGAGTGTGATCTACAAGACCCATCAATCCTCATCTTATTCTGTTAACACTCTCATGCTTTGGCCCAATTCCTCATGACTGGGAATGATGTGGGCTTTACACATTCCTGTCATTGCTCCTTTTACAAAATTACAAAATGATTGTTGGGTTGAGGGCTCCAGTCTGATGCCAAGAGGAGAATTTTACTCCCTGTGAGCTGTACTGGCTTACACAGAGATCAATCTGAAGCCATAGTTTTTGTGAGATCTCAGTGTCTAATCACTGGTAATCATGTCCTATATGTCCAAAAACCTAAACACCGATTCTTAGCCAAAGGATCCAAACCTGCAGTCACCTCATCCTAGCTCAGAGTTTCAGGCACGTAAGAGATTGAAGGTATCTGGGAGAAGGCAAGCCAGAAGGACCTGAAACAGCACAGAGTCCAGGGAGTCTGCTTTCTACCCCAGCGGGCTTTCTATTATTACCACATGCTTTTCTGAGTGGAGACTGATTAGCATCTGTGCAAACTGAAACAAATTCCTGGCTTTGAGGCTGATGCACTTGGTAGAAGAGCTACATAGTAACTGCTGTGGACTAAGCTTGTCTTTGTTCTCTTCTTTCTCCCCCAAACAGTACTCACATGCTCTCAATACAGAAGATGCAGGGGTTTTCATAGGTTACAAAATTAGTGCCACAGATGGGTTGATATAAATCAGGGCAGGGGTTCGCTGTTCCAGTGAACCAACTCAAGTCTACTTTCTTATATGGACATTTCACCTGAAATTCAGTTGAAAAAAATAATAATGGTTACAATTGCTCTCACAGACAGGTAGATAACCGCTGGACTTGATTAGGAAAATCTAAACACAGTCAGGATCCCATCACAATCACACAAAGCTCTTACAGCTGCCCCTCCACAAACCAGTGGAGGAAGAACAATTGATGTTCTTCCATCTGACAACCATTATGCCCTTATTGTGAGGACTTCCTGACAGTAACTGGGCACAGAGGCCTGCTACCCTACGGCGGGAGAAAGAAGAGTGGATAAACAGCATATATTGGGGAATATAGCTTCTTTCTCAATCTCCTTTATTTCCGGAATATTAGACATGGGAATAGTCTTAGGGATTTTCTGTGCCAACTGGGCAAAAAGCCCTGAAAGCCCATAATTGGAAAAGGGGCTTCTCTGAAATCCATATGCTTTGATTTAAAATACTTACCATGTTTTATCCATTTTCAAAATCCCCAAGTCAATTCTTTTCTCAAAGTTGTGAAATGTGAAAGCAGTTAGCATAATGCCTTGACTTTGTAGAGAAAATGAAAAACAAAGAAGAGACATGTCTCATCAGGGACGGGAATCCCTGTCGGCTCATGATGCTGGTGTCAATGGCAGCTTGAAGCAGTGACTCAGGGTTGCTGGAACTTGAGGAGTTCTGGGGGCTCTCTGAGTATCTGAGACAGATTGATAACATGCCTCTGATACAAGGTGGGAGGGAGTTTTGGCTGAATGTGTAGAGAAAGAGGGATCATATTTGAGCTCAGAAACTCTTCTCTTTCTTTCCATATGCAACACCACCAGCATGGCCAGGCCCCATCATCTACCTCTTGTATATCTGTCACCCAATTAATCCCCCCACTTCCTCTGTTCTCCTGGCAATTGTTGGTGCTCAAAAATATATCTTAGGCAGTAGGGAGGCTTCTCTGGTTGTCAAATGATCAAATCTTAGTGTGGTTCTCAGTTTGGACACTCTACTCGGGGCTCTTGTACCTGCAGTGTACCTGCCCGTTCATGTGAGTGGACTCTGTAGAATGCCACAGATGCCATTCCTGAAGGTTATAACACAGTAATTCTAAAGAAAACTCAGATTAGACTGTCAATCCTGAGAAATAGAGTGGAAGAGTACCTTAACAGTTCCATGTGGTGGCCACCAGTTTCGACGGCCTGAAACTAAGACATAATTGAAAATAGTTGCAGAGTATAATATCTGGTGAATCCTAGCTTAATCTGTTGGCAGAATTAAAGAATTCTAATTTATTACCAAGGAAGCTTGCAATATGAAAACATGGTTTTATCTATACATGCATTCATTTCCTCCCCCGCAAAAATGTGGAATAACTCTTCTACTCCTGATTGATAATCAGTAACCAATCACTGCTCTCATAAATGTTGCCAGTCCAGTATACCAAATACGTTTTTGATTAATAGTAGCTAGCTTGGGCTTGAGAGGATTCAGGACCAGTAGTCAATATGTAAAAAAAACATTAAGAAATGCTGGAATTTTAAAGAGATCATTAGCCCAATCTCTGTATTTTACAGAGGGAAAAGACTCTTGCTAATGCCCAGGAATTTCTGGTAATATGTGAAAATTCAAGCTCTTCAGTTCTTAAGGCTAGGTATCTTTAAAACACCCTATAGGACTCTTCTCTAAAAGAGGACAAAAAAGGTAACACCAATTCAAATTCATGGCAAAGTATTTTTAAAAGTTTTGAGTCTTTGAGATGTGCTGTGGACATATTGCCAATCACTTTAACATCATACCTCACTGAAGCTCCCAAGCCCTCTGGTCCCCATGAGTTAAGTTTTATAATCTGTACTAATAGATGGGAAACAAAGGCCTTTACTTGGCTCAGAGTCTTTTCTTGGGACCACACTCCATTGGCTTTCTCTCTATAGATACAGATACATATAGTAAAATGATACTCTTACATAAATAAATAGAAAATAATTCTAAAGCATTCTTTTGGATTACAATATCAAGCTCACAAATCAACCATACATAACTGCCAGAACCAGTCAAATTACTCACCAGAAGATAATGCCCAATGTATCAAGATGAAGAACAAAAGTGAGCAGAATACTGGAAGATACTTGGCCATTTTTCCTCCTGGTGTGTGTATCCTTAGAATGATGCTTTGAGATATTGCCTCAGGATGTTCCCCTGTAGAACAATCACTAGAGCAAAGTAATCAAGATATAAAGATGATCTGTGAAGTGAATATCCACCTCTAGCCTTCCCACTGTAGCCACTGTATACCACGCCTGGAAAGCCTATCATTTCACCCTTTCCCAAGAACAAATGTTCAGAAAAGCTTAACTTGGTTAGTCATAAATAAAAATATAGAACTCAATGATAGACTACTTAGAAGACAGAAGTAAACCAAACGTTACTCTTTGGACCGAATTAGGTTATTTTAGTGTGGAAGTGTTTTAAGTGTCTTGAAAAGGTGGACTCCTTACCTGAAGATTCACCCCAATTTTTTCCTTTGAGGAGATACAAAGAAAATGATAAGGCCATTAGAGGCTTCTAGATAGTAAGACTTTCTCAACAGAGGAAGCAGGTCTGTACTAGCTCATGAAGCAGAGACTACCCCTTTGCAGTAGGACAAAGATAATATTTTAGGCATAGGTGGCTGTGCTGAGAATCTTCTGACATGGAATGCTTATCTTTTTTGGAGCACTCTGACAGAGTACATAGGGAGAAATGCTGTTCCATCTCATGGGGGCCCCAAAATTATTTTCATCTAGACATCCAGCAAGGGAGAAGTCAGTGAGTAAGTTGTCTTGTGGGATCGCCTTCCCTTGTAGCAGACTTCCCAACCCTAGAGAATGGTATAGGACAGTTCTAGGCCTGACCAAGGGACCACCTTGAACTCCCCTATTTCCTAATCCTACAAAAGTGACCTGGTCCTCCCTATGTGCTCTGGTGGCCTTCATCGCTGCGCTGTAGCATATATGAATAGGCATCTGACATAAACTCTTTCCCAGAGACTACGGTGTGATCTGTGATATCTGAGACACAGTAAAGTCTCCAGGGTATTCTACTCCCCAAGATGGTTGGAGGTTCTTGGCACAGGCTCTGGAGCTGTCTATCCTGTATGCTCCTGGGACAATCTAGGACATGTTTTTGCTAAGCATACGCATCTCTTCCTGACATCGTCCCTGGATTCCTGCAGGAACGGAGCAGCAATAGTGGACGATCTAGCTGTACTACAGCAGGATGCCAGATGCCTGCTTCCCTGCCACATATATCCCCTTTGACCCACCTCAGAAAGAAGAGAAAGGAAGAGAGATGTAACATGTTCTTTTGTGGCTTGTGCCTCTTTTGAGAAGCAGGTAGGAGGGCTTCAGGAGTGGGTAGGGTAGCTATGTAGGAGAGAGAAGGCACTGAGGCATTGTGTGCTGGGAGGAGCAGGCCCGGGAGGCCCAATATTCAGGGTAAATCAGAGTCAAACCTCAGCAGGAGGCATTGGGGAAGGAAGCACAGAGCTTCCTAGAAGCCTTGGGGGTAGGAATGGATCACCGGACACTGGACAGGGCAGCCCTTGACAGGCAATCCAAACAGGCAATGGCATGAGGAAAGAGCATAGCAGAAAAAGCAGAGTATGTTCCACAATAAGAATGATACCTGTGACCAGCGTGAAAAATATAGAAATAGCTGCATACGAAAGGAGGCTGGTGATGCATGAGGGCTCTGGATGTCATTTGCATTTGGTCCAGCCTTTCTCTTGAATTGATCCAGAGCCTTTGCAACTTTGTAACCTGGAAGATTTGTGGTCATGGCTTGCTGTCTGAACTTCCTGCCTCCATCTTCCTTCCTGTAAAGAATAGTTGTTCTTATACCAAGGAAATAAGTGAACTTGAGAAAACTGGAAAAATGGAAATTAAAAAAAAGAAATAAAAAGACGTGAAATCTCAAAACTCAGAGATAACTGTTAAACATGTATTGGATATTATGGTTCCATTTTTAAAAAATCAAAATTTTGTAGTACTGTATATTGTTTTCTGCCTTTTCCACTTAGAAATGTACTGTGACATTTTCTTGATTTTTTTTAAATTTTTATTTATTTATGATAGTCACACAGAGAGAGAGAGAGAGAGAGAGGCAGAGACACAGGCAGAGAGAGAAGCAGGCTCCATGCACCGGGACCCCGACGTGGGATTCGATTCTGGGTCTCCAGGATCGCGCCCTGGGCCAAAGGCAGGCGCTAAACATCTGCGCCACCCAGGGATCCCATTTTCTTGATTTTTAAGTGTAGTCATACAGTATATGAATTTAGGTGCCTGGTGCCATATGCTGTCACATATATGGGTTTTTATATATTAATATTCTCCCATTGTTGCTCAATTAGATTGATTCCAGTTTTCATTATTAGCATTGCTAGAATAAATAAATTTTTATTTACTTCAGTTAATTTATTTCTTATTAACTTTAATAAATGTGCTTAAAAACAAACTGACTGGAAAATTCCAGAAAGGACCTGACTAACCTAGAATATGAAAGAGGTGTTTTTCACCCAATCTGTGGACTCCATGCTTATAATCTAACGTGGAGCATTTTGAAAATACAATGCCACCTTACTAAGTGAATCATCTGTCATCCAGTTCAGAGAGATAGAGGGACTCCATTGCATAAAAAACATTACAGAAGAAAAAGTAAAGCATCAAAGGAAAGGAATGAGGCTAAAATATCTATAGCTTTTCCAAACTCCCACAAATTCTAGTTGAATAATATTGGGTGAGGAGAATATATAAGATTAAGGAATCACATCTCTCTCAGAGAATCCTTAGTCTATGACTTTCTCATCATCTATTATACCCAGGGCTTAATTCTAAAAGCTATAACGTGGAGCTTTTTCCTGGGTGGCAGTCTCCTCTTCCTAGCTATGAAATGATTTGATTTGTGGTCATGGCTGAGTTTCCTCCTGTTACCTGAACTTGCTGCCTCCATCTTTCTTTTCATTTTCAAAAACCCACACCTTACTGTACAATCCAAAGCAGGTGCTTATCACCTTTCAAGGATACCAAAATCTTCTACAGGATTTAACATACAGCTCCACTGTTCTCTGCAGAAAGGAAAGTTTTAGCTCCACTGCTCAAATTACAGAGCTTTCTTGTCTAGCCCATTCTGTTAACCAATTATCTTACCACCAGAGCCCTGAGCTGCTTTCCTGTACGTCCCAATCACTGTCCTTCCCTTACAGAATAGCCACCACACAAATGTCAGTCCTGGCTATAGGATAAAGCCTTTTTCTTCTCAAGGATTTTTTGGAAGCCATAGGACAGCATTAGCCAGACTCACATAATCTCCTGCCCTGGTCTTGAGCATTGATTTGGGTAACAGAATTCCTGACCCGTTCTTTTGGCCTCAATAACCGTCACATTCCTCTCACCCTGACAAACATTTAGACAGGCTTCTAACTGATCATTTACTTTAGAAATCTTATCGTTATAAATTCTTTCTCTGGTGCCTCGAGATGTAATTCTTTTTGGAAGCTCCTGGCCAGTTTTACAACCCAGAAAGGTCTTTCTTGAGGACCCAGGAAGGATCCCTTTGAAATGCAGCCATCAGGAAAGACTGTGCAGATTCTCTCCTAGTTTCCGTGAAAGGGCGGAACCTAACTTCTTGTGGACACTTTGCTCTAAGTTGCAAAAACTATTTCTGTCATAAAGATATGAGAAGTTTATATTTCCTTCAGATAAAGCCAATGAGCTAACACAGCATGCCTATGATTTTCCTCTAATCTCCTCTGTTGCTTTCTCACTAACTCACCCAGACCTTAAGAATCCTCCTTTTTTTTTTTTTTTTCCTCCAACAGCACTAAGCTCATTCTGAGCTCAGGCTTCTCTTACCTATTCCAACAGCACTGGACATGCCTTCCTTACCTATTTAATTTTGTCTGATGCAGTCTTCGTTTTAACAGGAGCATCCCACATGCCCAATAAGTCAAATTTTCTTGTCTCTTTTATTTGGACTGAATCACTGTTTTGTTGCAATATCCTAGATTTCTTTTTAAGACCAATGCTCAACCTCATATACAAGTGTTTGCCTTCCTATCTTGCATACCTGCAATTCTAGCATAAAACAGAAGCACTTACTTCTCGTTAGTCTTACTTCTTTCTTTTATTGCCCATTTGTTTGCTCTTTAGCATTCAGAGGTCCTCCCTGAACTACCCATTCACTGGCCTGCAGTTCCCTGTTGGTAACTTCTGATTGCTACTGCCTGTCCCCTAGGATTAACCAAGAAGTGGAATTGAGACAGGTCAAGGTTCCCTCTTATTGTCTGCATCCTTTGTTCTCCCTAAAACTCCCACCCCTGGCTATACAGATGTACATGAATTTGTGTTCGAAAAGGATGGAGAAAGGAAAATCTTTAAAAGGAATTACCGAGAAGGGGGAGAAGGTAAAAAGCTTGTAAGATAGAGATGAGTTTCTTCAAAGAGGAGAAGGAAAATGAGAAATCCTTAAGGCAAGGCTCTGACGGTGAGCTCAACTAGTGTCTGATCTGATTCCTCTTCCCTTAGGCTTCTATTTCTTTTCAAAGACTGATTTGCTTTTCTTCATTTCATTTTGGGGCAGCAAATCCTCTCCACAATCTCTTATGGGATGTCTAGAGGAGAGGCTCTGGCCGTCTAAATCGTGAGGGCTCAGCTTAAGTGTGGGCACTTTGAGTCAACTCTCCTTTGCAGTGTTCTGATCAGTGTGAGTTGAAGACATCCCACTTTCTTTTCAGGGTTGTTCCTGAGAAACACACATAGACAGACACACACTTCTGCTTGCCAAAATTAAACATTAATCCTCAGATGGTACAAGTTTTCAAATTATATGTTGTGACCCTTCAGTGGGTTGTGAAATTTATTTTGTTACCACCACTATTTTAAAATAAAAAATAGTAAAATGGAATGAATAGAGTAGAATAACATACAAATTACAATGTAACTTCAACAGTGTGTTTGTTTTTCTAGGTGGTGAAGTAGATTATATTTTTTTCCCTGTGAGTCACATTCAATAAAGTTTAAAAACCCCAAGAATAAATCTACAAGGAAATAAAAATTTGCTATCTGAAAGCTCTGTACCTTTGTACCTCTGTATCTGCTATCTGTGCCTCTTGCAAGAAGAAAATAAGGGTATGTTGGTTTTGTTTTTTTTACGTTTCCTGCCAAAAGCCAGATAGAGTGCTTTGTTCTTAGCAATTCAACAAGCATTTCTATGTCCCTACTTGAAACCCTTCTGTCTTTCCCTTCATAGTTACTAGAACATCAGAGGCACTTAATAAGCTTGTTTCTTGAAGGACTTAATGAAAACTTCCTCCAGTTCAACATACCATACTATCCCCAAGAATCAAACTAACTGTACCAGCATTTGGGAAAAGCAAAGTGTTGTGGTAAGTGTTTCAAATGACACACTGATGTTATGAAAAGTCTAAGCCCTCAGGTGTTGTATAGTCTAATGGGGTTGGCATGGAGGAAAAAAGCAGATGAGAAATTGTAATTCAAAATGTACCATGAAAATAGGTTTTCAAATCAAGTAGTAGCATTATTAATGCTGGATAAATGTGGATATATATTTGTTTTAAGGCATAGGATGTGCTCTATCTTAATAATTTTCCCCTAATATTGATATACAGTAATACATTTTACAAGAAGCACTGCATTGAGAAGATTCCACAAAATATAGTACTCTTGTTTCTTTTCATTTAGCTCAAAATACTTTTAGTTTCTCATTTGATTTCTTCTTTGACTCAGGGTTTATTTATTGCTGTGATATATATACTTTCCAAATATTGAAGATTTTCCAGAGATTTTTTTTCTTATTCAATACAGTTGTGCTCAGAGGACATATGCCATATGACTTGAATTCTTTTAAATTTATTGATATTTGTTTTATGGCCAAGAAAATGGTCTATCTTGGTAAATATTTATGTGTACTTAAGAAAAATGTTTACACTGCTGTTGTTGAGAGGAGTGTTCTCAGGTCATGTGGTTGATATTATTGTTCAATTCTGCTACATGATTGTTAATACTCTTATTAATTTTTGAGAGATGGATATTGAAATAACTGGTATGATCATGGATTTGTTTATTTTTCCTTGCACTTGGATTCATTTTTTTATTTGCAAATCTTGAAGTTCTGAAGTTCTGTATTGAGGTTCATAAACATTTAAGATTTTTATATCTCCTTACTTGACAACTTTATCATTATAAAATTTACTTCTCATCCTTTGAATTATTATTTGCTCTAAAATTTATTTTGCTCATATTAACATTGCCATTCCCGCTTTCTTTTGGCTAATATTAACATGGTAAACCTTATTTTATCCTTTTATTTTTATCCTATTTGTGCTTTTAATTTATTGATTAATTAATTTATAAGGATTTGTCTGAGAATAATCGCTACACCCAACATGGGGTTTGAACTCACAACCCTGAGATGAAGATTTATATGCTCTATTGACTGAGCCAGCTGGGCACCCCTGTATTTTTAAAAGTGTATTTCTTGTAAACACACTTGCTTCTTTTTTTTTTTTTATCTAGCCTTGCTTTTTAAAAAATTCCGTCTAGCAATCTCTTCCTTTAATTGGAATGTTTAGACCATTCATATTTAATATGATTACTGATATACTTAATGTCAGGGTTAATTTTATATGTCAACTTGGCTTGTGCCCAGACATTTGGTCAGACACCAGCTGAGATGTTACTATGGAGATATTTTTCAGATACAGTCAACATTTAAATTAGTAGATCTCGTTATTATTGTTTATAATTAAATTATTTATTACTTAAGGTCAACATCCATGTACCCACCATTCTAGTGATGAGTTGGAATGGCTATCATCCTAAAAGTCTCCCCCATGTTATTGCCTGCTATACACTGAATATTTGTGTCCCCATCAAATTCTTATGTTGAAGCCTAGTTGCCAATGTGTTGGTATTATGAGGTAGGACTTTTGGGTGGTGATTAGGTCATGAAGGCAGAGTCCAGAGAGCTCCCTTTCCCCTTCTGCCATGTGAGGACACAGCAAGAAGACAGTTCTTACCAGACACTGAATCTTCTGGTACCTTGATCTTGGACTTGCCAGACTCTAGAACTACGAGAAATAAATGTTTGCTCTTTAAGCCTCCCAGTTAATGGTATTTTTGTTACAGCAGCCCAAATAGACTAAGGCACTGCCTTAGTCACAGACTTTATTCTGATTTATATGTTAATCACTCATATGCATATTTAATAGTTTTACTACCTATAAATGTCTCCTTAAAAAAAGATATTTTAGCTTTTAGGATTTCCTTTTTGGGACTGAAAATTCTGCCTCTTGACTGCCTTCAGACTTGAGTGGCAACATCCATACTCCCCTCAGTCTCCAGCCTGCTGAACTACTTACCAGGTTCCATAATCACATGAGCCAATTAAAGTAAATCTTTTCCTTTTTCTCTTTTCTCTGTCTCTTTCTCTCTCTACATTCACATGCACATGCACACAAAACACATAATTTGGTTTTCCTGAAGAACCCTAACTAACACAATGACGTTGAGTCTACCATTTTGCCACTTGCTTTTTTATCATTCCAATCTATTTTCCCCCTCAACCTCCTTTCTTTGTCTTCTTTTGCACACATGAATATAAGTAGCTTCTCATAGTGTGCCTTGAAGTAGTATTATGCCATTTAACTAAGCACAGAATCTTAGAATATTTTCATTTGTCTCTTCTATTGTCACATTGTCATGCATTTTATTTTCACATATGAAAAATAAAAATAAAGTTCTGGCAATTTAGCTACTATGGATGAAATTATGTCCCCTCCAAATACGAATGTGAAAACACTAACCCCCATTATGACTGTCTTTGGAGATAGGGCTTTAGGCAGCAATTTAGGTTAAATGAGATCATAAGATTCAGGTCTTCCTTCAGTTCTTATTGTACCTTTAACAATTCTTGATTTTATAGTCTTTTATATTGTATAGTAATCAACTCTTCAAAAGAGTGTCTCTGACTAGTCTACAACCTCTTAATGGCATGGATTCTTTGCCCATTTGCATTCCCTTTTTCTGCACAACACATTGCTTGACCTATAGTGATCTTTCTATGTGTGTTGTTAGAAAAGACACACAACTCTCTACAAAACAGCTGGCAAGCATTTGGCCAATCTTTACTAAAAAAGCATCATGCTTAGAGAACCTGGATGGCTCAGTCAGTTAAGCATCCAACTCTTGATTTTGGCTCAGGTCATGATCTTCGGATCTTGAGATTGAGCCCTGCATTGGGCTCTGTGCTCAGCAGGGAGTCTGCTTGAGGTTCTCCCTGTCTCCAACCCCGCCCCCCGCATGCATGCTGTCTCTCTCCCTCTCAAATGAACAATAAATCTTTAAAAAAAAAAGAGCATTGTGCTTTGGACAGATGAATTTATAGGGCATAACTTTGTTCCTATTTAAAGACTTAGTGTTAGAAAATTCTCTTTACCAAGGAAAAATATCTCTCTTTGGATGTTACATTAATGACATGACTCTCCCTATGGAACACCAGAAATGAGAATGCTCTGATCTCTATCTTATGATACTCCTGCATATGCCCTCATCTTTCCTAGCTACCTTGAATTTTCCTTGGGCCTTTTAGTGACTTCAACAATTTAATCAGATTATATGGTTCTTAATATCTCCCCAACATGATCAACAAAATGCCTTCCTTTGTGGTTGCCATTTGTGACTGAGTCCTCTTTAAATAGATATCTAATGTCTAAATACATTCCTGGTCTGATTAGTTGATAGTATTATGGATTCTTACTCTACCTTTCTCCAAAGCTGAATTATACACTTTTTTATTATTGTTGCTAAAGGTACTAATATAAGACTTGTGGTCAGATCCATCCCTTGACCCATGTTTGCTTAAAAATCATGAGTTTTTTTTTTTTAAATGGGATTCTAAGAGTAGATTCTTCTCTCACCAGTGTGCATACACTCTTCCAGTTCTCAACCTGAGTAAAAATAGAGGAAATCTTTCTGTGTAACCCATTGAGGGAAATGACCATAGACATTCTTCTTAACAGACAGTCACATCCAGAGACAAACTTGAAAGATTTCTGCTAAGAATCTTTTATTGAAGAATCAAATCCACATATTTGCCCCCATAACTATTTAAAGAGATTGGTTCTCTACATGGAATCTGCCAAAGGGAACTTGGGATCCAAATCTCAGCACTGTCCATGCTTGGCCAAAAAGATTGTACCACGACTCTTCCTACAAGAAAAATCATTTTTTTAAAAGGAAATTTTTAGAGATCTTAAATTGAAATTTTAATATTCTTAGATCAAGCCAGCCAAATGAGCACAGAGCATGAAAGGTGAATAATTATTAGCTGAACTCCAGCATGGTGGAAAAAGGAATTTAATGTAGTCAAAGCCAGTATCAGAACCCCCCAAAAAATCTATAAATATCTCTGTTACCTGCCATTTAATAATATTATGATGTTGATCAAGTCTCCTTTTCCAGCTTCAGTTCCTTTCTACCACTTTCTTTCTCTTGCCCTCTCTCTCTCTTTCTCACTTTTTACTTCTTTTTGTAAAATATTATAATTATCGGGCAGCCTGGGTGGCTCAGCAGTTTAGCGCCACCTTCAGCCCAGGGCCTGATCCTGGAGACTCAGGATTGAGTCCTGTGTCGGGCTCCCTGCATGGAGTTTGCTTCTCCCTCTGCCTCTCTCTCTCTCTCTCTCTCTCTCTCTCTCTGTGTGTGTCTCTCATGAATAAATAAATAAAATCTTAAAAAATATTATAATTATCAGTGAGCCATGTGACTGTTAACACTTTGTAGGAGCATCTCACTTAATTAGGTAGCTATGATGGTTTCTGGCTCTGCAGGAAAGGCTGTTTTTGCAAATAGTACATTAAATTCAGAACTTACACAACAGCATTGCAAAACAAACATTTGTTGGAATAGTTTTTTCCATCAGATCCACAGAGAGGTCTGTATTCCATGGTACATATATCAGAATATTTAGTGCACTCAATATCCTTCAGTCCAAAAAAAATAAAAAAGGAAAAAAAGAAAGAACAATCTCAAATTATTAAATCATAGAAAATAAACTGTTTTAAGGCCTATGAGAAGTCACTTAGCCCTCAATCCCATATGCAAAAAGACATATCTTCTTTAGTTTCCAAAATCTGACCCAGTAATGGTGACAATCTTGTCACAGTAAGAGATAGCTTAGCTTGAGGTTAGGGCTTCCCTCCCAACTCATTCTCCACAGGGAACTGGTAAATAGACTACGTCCAGTGGATTCTATCTTGTACTTAATTTCCAAACCAGTCCTCTCCTTGTCACACTGTTATCCACTTTATTTAGGCCCTCCTTATGTCTTGCCTGAGTAGTTGCAGATGTCCGCCAGTTTGCTGCCCAGTGTCTATGCTTAGCTAAGATTTCAGTCACCTGCCACATTGATGTCAGAGTGATTCTTTAAAAACCAATTTGTTGTTTGTTTATTATCAGATCTTGTTTTGTTTATTATCAGATCTTGTTTTTTGATTAGTTAACTAATTCCCCATCTACAGAACTTCCCCTCATAAGCTGTGCTTACCTCTCTCATCTGCTTGACCTGTAACTCCAACTAAATTTGAATTCTCAGAGTGTTTCCTGCTCTCCTAAACATCCCTGTGCCTTCGCTTAGGCTGTTTTTCTGTCTCGCCTGACCTTACCCACTGTGGCCAACACAACAACTCCTAAGACTCCTAGTCCTCCTTAGAAGTCAGTTTAACTCTTTTTATAACAGTTTCTTGACAACATTTATCTCTCTTACCCATCAAATTGAGTCAGATGTCACTCCTTAAAATGAACTGTCTTTACTATCACAGCACCATATTTTTATTTCTCTTGTCACATCTCAAACTGTATTAAAATTATTGACATCCACTCACATAGTTCTTTACTCCTGAATTGTCTTTATAGTTGTTCTTGAAATTTTTTTTGTTTTTTAAAAAATAACTTCTTTTATTGTTATGAGAGTGTCCTTAAATCCCTAATGTCCTCTTCTTAATCTGCTAATTAGCTGCAGCATTAGAAAACAACCACATCTATACCAAACTGCCCCAGTTAAGGGGCTATGAGTAAAATTTGTGGAGTCTTCCTCTGGAGAAGTAAATTAACTATGCTCATGTCTTTTGTTTGGCTGGCCTTATAACTTATCTATGACTATACATACTCATAGATAATTTCTAGAATGTCTATTTTAAAACTTTCATAAAGTGAGGAATTATTGTAACCCTTCATATTAGGAATAAATGAAACTTCCTTGTATACTTACACATGCAGTATCCTGAAGTTTCCTGACTTCAAAATTTTTGTTTCTGAAAGAACATTTTATTGAATAGGTAATTCATTACTTGGCATTTTACAATATACAGAGTAAAATACAATCATATGTCATTCTGTGTTGCCTGTTTTGTAGTGAGAATGAGGCACTCTGGTTAATATTCTACCCGGGTTGATGAATATTGACCATTAACACCTTCATGTATGATCATTTTGTAAACAAATAAAAATATAAGAAAGTAAGATCAATTCTAAGAGGAGATTGGGCATTTAAAAAATTAGTTAATAAATATTCAGATGAAAATTAAAGGCATAGTATAGTGTGAAAACATTTTTGCAGTTATGAAAAAAATATATTCAAATTCATCTCTGGCACTTATAGTCTGTGTAATTTTGTTACAATCACTTCTTTCTATAAGATTTCTGTCTTCTAAAAGGAGACTATGAGATGATAAAATCAGTAAGCTCTTATCAGTCTTTAGTCTCTTGCATTTTTATTAGTACCCGAGTTTGCATATCCTGAGAGACTTTATTCTGAATAACACTTGTTGTTACACTTGACTATAAATTTTCAGAAGGGTTAGAAAAGAAGGAGAAAATGATGAGAAGGAAGAAGAGCTCATTTCTGTAAATATTCAGTCTGTATTAGCTGTATAGCTAAGATTTGATGTCTTTTATCACTGTGAATCCTAAACGCTATTAAATTTCTATATTATAGATGAGGATACTGAAGCATGTAGCAAATTGGTTTTTCTTTTTTGCCTAGTGTCACACATCTTGTAAGTGTAATCTGGATTCTAGACCAGATACGTGACAACAAAGCCCATGATTTTGATGTTACACATACAGTCATAAAGTAATGAATTCAAATTCCTGGAATGGCTGGTAATAACTATTCTTTCATTTTCCTAGAAGCTGAGATGTTTACAGTTAGCAACTCATAATTTGTGGGGCTGTTGGTGGTAGGGGTCTCAACTATCCGTTTGTACTCTCAATCTCTTCCCTAGACTTTTCCAGATAATTGTAAGAAGCAACATGGATTTTCTCTGGGGTATGAAAGATAGATCAAAGTCTTGTAAATTACCTGTGGCAATTATTCAATAGGAAAGACACAACAGAAAATTATGGAACTTTGACCAAGATACATTTTCTGCCTGAGACTCAGCTTCCTCAAATGTAATGTGAGAATAAAAATGTCTATAGGTAATGCTAACGGCTGAGGAACAGTACATAATGTGAATGAGAATTTGGCTGGATAGCAAAGAAATATCTAGCTAAATTAATTAATTAATTAATTTTAACAAAGTAATATCCAAAGGGTATTGGAAGAGCATGACAAAAGGTAGGATTTATCAAACCACCTTGTTGGAAACCAAGCAGGTTTTGGCCAATGTGGACTTTGTGATCTTAAAAAAAAAAAAAAGAGGGGATACAAACTGAGTATGATACTTACAGAGTTAGCGCGCAAAACATGCATTCATTACTGTAAGTCTTATGATCTGTGCCACATATTGGTTGCAGGTGCCTTGGGCATGCAATCTGAGAGCCTTTTCCTTTGTAGTTGGAGCAGTCTACCTATAATTGGAACAAAAAACAATGGCCCACATTGTCTTCCTTCCATTCTATAGTCTTTCTCATATCAAGTTGGTCAGAGAGAAAAAAGAGTGGAAAGATTACTAGCCTCTTCAACTTTTTAGCAAACAGCTAGAAGACCTTACATGGATCAGATGCTGTGCTACACAACTAGATCAGACATGAAACATTAGAGGTAGCTGTTTAAGAAGGAAATGTTAGTCTCTCCTTTTTGAGTTACAGTGAGAGTACAATGGAATACTGAAAGTGAAAAATACTCAGAAAAGTTTAAAATGCCACCTAAAGGTAACAGTTTACTTTATCTGCTGTTCACCTTTTGCAAAGAGATTCCTTTTGCAAACTTCAAAGAAAGAAACACCACCAGGAAAAGTGGAGTAGCAACGGTTTTACCTCCCTAGGAATTATTTCCATTCACAGTGAGCCAGTTTAGCTCCTTTCACAGCTCCATTTACACATCAGCTCTGTTATCATTTTTACCAAGACCCCACAGAGAAGTTTACACTCACCTCTCTTCCTATTGCTTGATCATCAAAAGAGAGTGGCATGCGGTGCATTTGAATAGAAGGAGTCAGAGAAAGAACAAATTCCATAGTTAGAGGTGCAAGATTGAATTCATTGTTCACAGTGACTAAAACCTATTTCTGACATCCTTTGCCCAGGCCAGACCTAAGAGAGTTCACTTCTTTAGTCAGGACCAATTCAGGATGAAGCCAGAAATCTATGTGATTCTGATTAAAACAAAACAAAACAAAAACAAAACACAAAAACACAACACAACACCAGGGAAATTCCTGGTTTTTGGAGAAAGGGCTGTCATAGGTATCCAGGAATTTCTGTGAGCATGTCCAGGATAGGGTTGGGTTAAGGTCTCAAAGCTGCATAAGTTCTTTCTGAAAGGCAAGTCATAAGCCTGATGTCTTGATCAGGAACTGAGCAGATTTCCCACAGTTCTTTTATTCTTTTCTTTTTTATTATTAAGTATAGCCAAGGCAGTATGTTACATTAGTTTCAGGTGAACAACATAGTGATTTGACAAGTCTACACTACTGACTATATTCCCTATGCTGTACCTTTTATTCCCATGACAATCTTTTTATTCTTCTTCTCAGTCTCTCTTCCTCTTCTATGAGGTCTGACTGCCACCCTCTCTTTGCTAATCAGGCCAATTCAGTTAATTTCTCAATTTTCTTCTGACTTTAACATTCTATTATTATTGAAGATTGAACAAACTGCAGTTAACATAAAGTTATTATCATTGAAAGGAATCCTAACTTACCAGGTGGAAGGCCAGCCCATGTGGTGGCTGCAAGAGCAAAGATGGCAAAAACAGTGAGACTCTTCATAGTGATGACAAGTGAGGGTGGCAGAGACATGCTGCTCTGAGGCACACATACACGTATATATACGTATATGCACAAGGGAGGGTCCCATCTTCATCAAGACTGACCTGTACAATGATGACTGGTTGTTAATCCAAGCTAGAGTGTTAATTTCATTTGTCAAGGAAAGCTTCCTTATTTCCTTGATTTATGGGCAGCTGAAATAGTTGTACCCTGAACTCACCTACCAGAACTGTCTTGCATAATAATCCTCTGGATTCTTAGCAAATACAACAGCATGTCTATATTTGAGAACCAGTAAAATCATAGGTGGGGTAAAGAGACATTATATGAAATGCACAAAAGTTGAAATAGAAAATAGGAGCAATGAGAACATTTCATGAAAATGCACAGTAGTATACAATATGAATACTAAGTACTGTAATACCTTTTCTGGAGTTTGAAGATAATTTACAGTGTTTTATGAAGGCTTGTTGAGTGACTAAAAGAAACTTGTGAAATATGCAGACCAGTATTATTGCTACTTAGCAGATGGGACAACAAACACAGAAAGTTTAAGAGTTTTCTATTTAGTCAGAGTTAACAGTTGGAAAAGCCAGTTCTCCAGAATCCTAGACCTATACTTCTCTTATAATTTCTTTTTTTACTGAGATAGGCTAGTTCAGTAACAACAACCAATATTTATACTTAAAATCCAATTTTTAGCATAGTGTCTCATGCTTCTTAAGATCATAACCATGATATTCTGTTTAGTACATTCTCCTGCGCCCGTATCTATGTATGTACGTCCACCCACATAACTGACATTTTTTTCAATAATGCAGGCCTGGCCTAATGATTTCTAATTACTTACCACTTTCATCTCCATTACCTCATGTGAAGACATCAGCTCTCCAGAAGATAGAGTTAATGTGGATTTAAGATACAGTTAATTCCCAAAGGACAAACTCAAAGATTGGAGGAGTTAAGCAAATTGCCCAAAGCAGACAGCAAGTAAGTGATAGAATCTTGACCCAAACCAGATTTTCCAATTTCAGAACTTATGACCTTCCAGTAACTGGTTGTATTTGTTTCTAATTTTTTAAGTTGTGTCCCTCTCATTCATACTTTCCATTCTCCAACACCACCTCTTTTTCTCAGAAATAATTCTATAATTTTGGTTTATGCTATTGTGAGATTTGAATACTTCTACTGTATCCATATTTCAGTGCTTCTTCAGCATTTGAAATATGTATACTACAATGAGATGTGTTCCAGAAACTTTTCTTAATAGGATAAATGATCTTCTTCCCAAGTCATAGTGGAGCACCTGCTTAGAGTGATCAAATTCTGAGTAGATAACAGAAATGAGAAAAATGGCTCAGTAATGGTAAAGCTGGAAATGTCAGGAGCAAGCACCTGCGTCTGTGCCTTTCAAACTTTTCATTATTGTTATTTAATTAAGAAATGGAACTCCCCCCCTTCCTGAATGTAATTTTGTGAGGCAAGCAAGAAATGAAACAGATCTTTTAGAAAGGCAGACACTAAATAGAAACAAGACAGAATTAAAGAGTCTCTACGTTTCCACCACACAAATCCATGCAAATCCATTTGGAAACTGATCTAGAACACACACATGACAGGAAGTGAGGCCCTAGGAGGGAGAGTGTCTTGTCCACTCAATGGACACTCAGTGAAACAGATCCTCAGACCACTCAGTGAAACAGATCCCCAGATTCTAGTACAAGATTTGCTCTGTTATGCCATATCTTCTCACACCATTACACCGCCCTATGTCAACATGGGATTTCTGCTCCTACTTGCTTTCCCAGAGAACATGAGGAACAATCTGCCACCTGGGTCCTAGACTCCATTCTCTACTGCTTACTAGATATCCTCTTCCTGATATCCCATAGGATCTTCCAGTTCAACATGTTCCTAGAAGGCCTTGTTGCTAAATCTCATTTTTAATGGTTCTCTCCAGTTTCACTTTGTTAATATCTATCAGTAGCAACTCAATCCAGGAAAATTTAGGAATCTTCATTTCATCTCTGATTTTCACACTCACATCCAATCTCTAACCAACTAAGTTTTAATTTGTATCTGTATCTTCCTCTCCAGGAAGAATATAAGTGTTTTTTCTTAGTTTGTTTGCTTTATTATTATTTTTTAAATTCAGAGTTCAAGAATAATAGCTTATAAATCTACCTCCAAAAAAAAAAATCTACCTCTCACGTTTCTTCCTTTTGGGATGACTGAAAAATTAACCCTGTCAACAAATTCTAAGAAGACTGCATTTTTCTTTCCTCCTTTTGCTACCTACTCAATAACTAAGGACAATGCTCAACATCACTCAGCATCAGGGAAATACAAATCAAAACCACAATGAGATACCACCTCACACGGGTCAGAATGGCTAAATTTTACAACAGGAAACAACAGATGTTGGCAAGGATGTGGAGAATGAGGAACCCATTTACACTGTTTGTGGGAATGCAAACTTGTAGCCACTCTGGAAAATAGTATGAAGATTCTTCAAAAAGTTAAAAATTGAACTACCCTATTACCCAGCAATTTCATTACTAGATTTTTATCCAAAGGATACAAACATAGTGATTCAAAGGGGCACATGCACCCTAAAGTTTATAGCAGCAATGTGCACAACAGCCAAACTATGGAAAAAGCCCAGATGTCCATCAACAGATGAATGGATAAAGATGTGATATATATATATATATATATATATATATATATATCCATATATGTATATATACATATACATACATATATGTATGTATACATATACATATATATATTAGAGTGTTAGTCATCAAAAAGGAATGAAATCTTGTCATTTGCAACAATGTGGATGGAACTAGAGAGTATCGTGCTAAGTGAAAGAAGTCAGAGAAAGACAAATACCATATGATTTCACTCATATGTGAAATATAAGAAACAAAACAGATGAACATAGGGAAAAGGAAGGAAAAATAAAAAAAAACAGAGAGGGAGACAAATAATAAGAGACTTAACTATAGGAAACAAACAGAGTTGTTGTAGTGGAGGCAGGTGGGGGCATGGGGTAACTGGGTGATGGGCATTAAGAAGGGCATTTGATGGAATAAGCACTGGGTGTTATATGCAACTGATGAATCACTAAATTCTACCTCTGAAACTAATAATACACTATATAGTAATTAAATTGAATTCAAATAAAAATAAATTTTAAAAAATGTGTAGGATAATGTAAACTGAATACCATCACAACACATTGTCCAGATCAAAAGTTACTTTAAAGTGACTTCAAATCCATTCCTATTTCCAGTTCCTTAACAGGTTTAAGGTTTTATTTCAGAAAAAGCGTTGGTTATGATTCTAGGGTAGCCAGTCCTAGGGGTGGATGTGCTCTGTGCATGAATTCTTAACAATCTCCAATATGATCTGATGCTAGTAGGGTTGAGTTTTGATCAATAAATGTAGATATACAACATTATTCCCTCTTTTTCTCTAAAATTATGTCTAATTCCAAATCTTCTGTTCTGTCAGGTTTTGGGGACATTTGGTCTCATTCATTATTGAGATTGGTGAGGATCTGAGATGGTTACACAGTGCACAAGAACATGAGGAGAGACCCTCTAATCTCTGGACAGTCATGGCTGCTGCCTGCATCCTGATGGTCCAAGCCAGACATAAATGGTTCCCTTCCCTGAGGTAGTTCCCTGATTCTGTGCCACCTATGGGAGGGGGTGATTTTTGGTTGACATTGAGAACTCTTGAATTCAGGGTTCAGCAGATACCTTTTATAGCCATACACTCAGTAGTCTTTTGCCTTTTGAGGATGCTACCAAGCAGCAGTGTTAGTGTTAGAACTTTGTCCCTTTCATTTCTAATGAAATTTGAAATTTTCATTTCAAATTTTATTGCTTCTACTTTGGTTACTTTCCAAAGCACACAAGCCATTAAGAATAATTTCTTTCCTATTATTTATGCTTTTGTCAGTTTTACTCAAATATCCTCTAAGGCAAAAGTACACACTGTTTTCTTTTAGCTTTGTGTTAAGGGGGAAGGAAAGATACAGGGAAAACTAGTTAATAGCTTTTTAACCATTGCTTTTATTGTTGATGTGTTATTATTTCTTGTTTGACATATTGACATTAAAATGACTATCAACATTCCATTCCTCTTTAGAATATTATCTTGTGCTTTTAGGTAAATGCTAATCTGGGGTCATGCAGCTCCACCAGCAATCCTCCAGTGGGCACTTATAATTGGAACTCCTTCAATTGTCTACTCCTCTTTTGAGTGCATAGGAACAGCCCCTGGGTAGAGAACGATGTGGCATTTCCTGCATGATTTAGCCATGCCTGTCCTGTGACCAAAGGTTGGGACTTAAGCAAATATCCTCTGTGAACACAACTTGTCCATAACTCATTTTTAGAGACCTTGGCAACAGGAGTTCTGGCAACTTTGTCACTTAAAATTCTAGGAGCAAAATGGATTCAGAGCTAAGAATATGAGAGTTGAAAACTTTTCACTTTATTACTGCTCCTAAGACTTCTTTCATGTTTCATGTTTAAGTCAAGCCATTGGAATTCACTTTTCATTATTAATCCCATTTCTATATGTTAAAAAAATCAGCATGCATACTTTCTTCTGCCACATGTTCCATAGATCTGGAATTTAATTATTCCACAAATAAACAGAAGTGACCATTTCTGTAGATAATGAACAATTTTCTGGATCACTAGATGCAAAATCCATTTCTCTGTCTGAAAACATATCGGATAGATAATATTTGTATGAAGATGGAACTGGGGTTCATGAAGCCAGAGGGAATGGTGTAAGGAACACAAGATTAAAAAACACTTGAATTTGTATTTCTGATTTACAGCCACTTGGGTAAGCTCAGAAAATCACTTTCCCTCTCCAAGCTTCAGATTTCCATCTATGAAACATGTTGGATAAATCATATCTAATTTTTCTCTAGCTCTGTCGATTTGGGATATTACCAACCTGAAATAAAATGATCTTTTCCTGATTGCAATCTTATCAGGACATGTTACATATTTAGCTGATAAAAATCAATTAATTAGCTGAAAGTACAATGTCAATCACAACAGTCCACTTCACAGTGTATTTTTCTGGGGTCATGCTACTCCTTGCATTTCTCTTTAGCTGCAGCTTTTGCTAGTTTCTGAGAAAAGACCTCATGAATTTAGCCTTCTAGGCCGGGAGGAGAAGGGGAGATATATCTTATAAGATCATATTTTCATATAACTTGTTTGTTTACAGCTATTAGCGTCAGCAATATTTTATTTGTACCAGGAAGGGAATGCAGTTCCTTCTCTAAGTTCCTTGAAAAATAATGGTCCTCTTCTATTCTTGTAGGCTTTATGCCATTGACCAGAACTGAGAGTTTCCATCCAATATTCCCTTTTAAAACTCTTATCTTAAGGGTCTGGTTTTACTCAACAATTTTTAATAAGCAATTGCTCCATGCCAGTCATTGATTGTACTAGGCACTGGGGATATAAACATGGACATTAAATGGTGTCTTCTCTTTAAAAAGTCAGTCTAGTGAGAGAGATGGACTTCTAAATAAGCAAGTGCACAACAGTGACAGCAGGCCATGCAGGTATGAGGACAGGATGTTATGGGAGCATATCAAAAGAATAACTAATTTTTATTCTTTTATTTAAAAATATTTATTTTTAGAGAAAGAGAGAGAGAGTATGCACAAGTACGGATGGAAGGGAGGAGCAGAGGCAGAGGGAAAGAGAAAAACTTAAGCAGGCTCCACACCCAGCAAGGAGTCAGATGTAAGGCTCAGTTTCACGACCCTCAGATCATGACCTAGGCCGAAATCAAGAGTCAGATGCTTTACCGATGGAGCCACCCAGGTGCTCCTAACTAATTTGTATTCTAAGGGGAAAGGGGTCATGTAAGGTTTCCAGAAAAAAGCTGTACCTTCAATGAGCAATAGCAAATTAGAATTTGGAGGGATGGACCTTGTGAGTTGGAAGGAAAACTGGGAGAAGGAACAGGGGTGGACAAAAAGAAGATGTTAGGAAGGAACATTTAGGAAGAAGCTCAAGAAAATTATTCAGGGTAAAAGAAGGGAGAGAGGACAATGTAAGAGTGGAGGCTAGAGAGATGAACGGAGGCCTTGTATGTTAGAAAGAGTGTGGAGTTCACCTTGGGAGCTAGAGAAACCACTTACAGGTTTTAAAAATAATGCCATCAGATCTGGACTTCAGACCATTATTCTGCCCACAGTAAAGAATGCAGTGGAAGGGAGAAGACAGAGGCAAGAAGATCATTTATAAGGGTGCTGTGTTCAATCATCAAGTGATGATGATGGCTTGAACCAGACTTATCCATGGTGACTGACTCTATGGGGGATAAAAAGGGTGGGGATAGACAGAAGTTAATGACTAGACAGGTTTGTCTCACTTTGCTTTCTTCTAGTACAGTGTGGTTACTTAGTAGGAGTTTTCAAAAATTCAAACTGGGGAATTAAATATATCAGTGTTTTGAAGAGGTCATTTGAAGTTTTTTTTAAAAAATAGAGAGCTGTAAAGGATGGAGACAAGCAAGTCTGTTCAGAGGTCATTAGAAAAGTCCATTAGAGAGAAAAGGAGTGTCCAAAATTCAAAGCGTCAAATATTACAAGTACTGTAACAGATTAGAATGGCAAAAGCACACTTTATTTTCTGATAGCTTTGTGACAGAGGGCAAGGAAAAATACAAGGAAAACTAGTTAGTAGCAAAGAATCATCTAGAGGAAGACAGCACATCATCCCTCAAAATAATATGGAAGGAGCTCTATGGTCATATGAATTTCCATCAAGGATGACAAATATTTATTTTGACTTTTTTCCTGGGACTAATCCTCATTTGACAAAGTCTTCCTCTCTGTTCTCTCCTCATGCTCAAAGAATGAGTTATAGTCACAGGTTATTTAGATAGAACTTTAATTTCAATGCTGGAAAGAAAAAGGCACCTGTGTGCCATAATGGCATCAGAGAAAGAACAAGAATATCTTGCTATGCCTTTTTTCTAGGAGGTAAACAGATAGCACTCATCACTGTAAAGGCTTCAGGACATATTCACTTCATTTACCATCATCTCTCTGTATAACACATGAGACTGGCCTTGATCAAAGTCAACCAAGAAGGCCACAAAGAATATTGGATTGGGGTACAAATCTGAGTCTTACTGTGTGCTTTGTTCAGCTTCAAGCACATATTAAATGTTTAGAAATGTCCATATTTATTATTTTCTATTATTCTATTTTCTTCTAGTTCTATTTTTATTCTCTATTATCATGGAGTGAGAAATGTGTTTGGTGCTTAAGAGCATAAAAGAGGGCCAAGAGACCAGTAAGTTACAAAGAAGGACAAGAGACAGATTCTTGAGTGGTTTGTGACAGAGGCCTTATATCCCACAAAGCCTATGATATTTATACTTTGGCTGTTTACAGAGAAAGTTTGCCTACCTGTAGCCTAGACAAGTGCTCTCCTGGGGTGTTTCTGAAGCCTTGAGAGAGGAAAATTTCAGGTGAGTTCCTTACATGAGAAAATAAGGAGTTTGATACTGTTAGATCTCTCAAACCCCATATTCTGAATATAGAATCAGCATCTGAAACAGCATCAGTTATAGAGAAATGTGTAAGTCTGTGATTGTAACCAATAAGATGTGTTAAAGTTTTGCTTTTTCACTTCTAACTCAGGATCATTTATCAC